CTCTCTCCTTATCTCCCCTCTCTCCTCTCCTCCTCGGTGCTGCCCTGCAGCCTCCCTCCCCTACCAATAAAGACCTTTCCTAAAAAAAAAAAAAAAAAAAAAAGATATACTTTGTGTAAAAATAAAGTGTAAAGGAGGGGGAGGCATTCTCAGAGACCAGGAATGGGCGATAGTTCGGGCCTGTGTGTAGGTGCTGTGCCAGGGCATGTGGCCACCTGAGATTTGAAACCTGATCTAGTTGCCCCCCATCAGTTTCTTTAGCCTGGGGTGCCTGACTTTTTTGGCCCTGTCTTGGCTTTTGGCTCTTCACCTGCACTATCTCTGTCACCACCGTGAGAAGCTGCATAGCCCTGGAAGATCCTAGCACGAGAATTAAGGGGGGAAAGAGGAAATGAGAGCTGCTTTGGGAAGTGAGTGGGGTTTCTATGCCTTCCTGCCTCTCCAGTGACCCACCCAAACCTCAGCTGGAGAAGGTGAGGCGGATCCACTCAGCCAGGCTTTCAGTGTTCCTTATGTCCCCAAGCTCCGGTTCCTCTGTAGAAAGCGTATGTCTGTTTGGCTCAGTATCACTTGTAAAAGGGCCCAAAGCTGAGGGGGCTCTTAATTCAAGTGATCTGAAGGAAGGAGGGCCCTCAGTGTGTACCTCTAAATAGCCGTACTCACTGTAAGTACGGCTATTTAGAGGTACACACCCTCCCTTACCTCCCTCTTTTACTTCCCCTTCCTCATCATCAGACTATAAACAAGTGTTTTTGGTCCATTCAGTCTGCTGTGACAGAATACCATACACTGGGTGAATTATAAACACCAGAAATTTATACCCTGTAGTTCCAGAGGCCAAGAAGTCCAAGACCAAGGCGCCAGCAGACTCAGTGTGTGCCTGAGGACCCTTGTGGCAACGCCTCCTCGCTGTCTTCACATACTAGAGGGATGAACAGGCTCCCTTAGGTCTCTTTTACCAGGGCACTAATACTATTTATGAGGGCTCCACCCCCATGACCTCGTCACCTCCCAAAGGCCCACCTCTTAATACCATCACATGGGATATAGGATTTCAACATATAAATTTCAGAGCCACACAAACTTTGCAACCATAGCAACAAGTTTTAGGAGAAGGATGTGTTCCGCCCATGCTAGCAAGGAAGGAAAGTTTACTCTCAGCCTGGGTGGGTCATACACGCAGAATGATCGCTCTGACCACCAGTTAATAAATGCCCACTGGTCTGAAGGAAATGATTAGCATTCTATAGAGACTGGACGTTCTGTCTGGCCCCAGGGTTAAAGCTCCAAACAACAGCCCTGTTGTTTCTCCCTCACACTTACATGCTGGACATTTTGCACCTCTTTATATGTTTGGGCTCTTTATTCACAGACATAACGGTCACATATTTCTTGTCCTAAATTTGAGGTTTTTCCCCTCCACCCTCACTGCCTTACAGGTACATTCGTTAAAACTTGCCCTTGAAGGCGTGGAAAAGGAAAGGGATTTCTACTTTGGGAAGTTGAGAGAGATCGAGCTACTCTGCCAAGAACATGGGCAGGAGAATGATGACCTCGTGCAGCGAGTAATGGACGTGCTCTATGCTTCAGAAGAACACGTAAGTGTGAGCAGCCCTGGACTCCCATTCTAAAACGATCGACATGCCTTAGATACTTCCCCGGGTCCTCAGTGAGGATTACAGCTCAGCTAAGTGCATTTGATATTCCCAGAGTAATAAGCATCATTATCATCACGATCCATCCACCCATGCCTGTGGGACATGCATTCATAAATTAATCTGGGAAGAGCTGGGTGGAATATTTTGCCAGAGAATAGTACACTTACGATGATTATGCAGCCAAATCTCAAATGGTTTTCAGTTCCCTGAGCAAATAAGCAGTCAGAACTTATATATGGATTCTTCTTTCTTCATGAAAGATTGGAGTGTGGTTAAAGGAGAAAATAATCTAGATGCTTTTCTCATCCCCCTAAGCCCCACAACTGTCTGTTTTTATTTCATAGCTGGTTGTCTTGGTTACTCATTGCCAGGACAGACTAGAACTGTGGGACGGCCCTTTACTGAAAATCCCTGTAGAAGGCCTCCTTGGTGGGTGCACCTGCCGCCAGAATTGCTGCTCACAAGTGCTGAGAGAGTCCCCAGATGCGGCTCTGTCAGGGTGATAAGAAGCGGGGGAGGAACAGAGTCTTGTGAAGCAAGGAAGGGAAGGGGCAGGATAAATAGCAGAGATGGAGACCAGGCGCACCAGGCCAGGAGGGAGGGGCCCGGCGGCCAGGCAGGAGCAGGAGCCGGACGGGGCTTCACCTTCCAGAGTGAACTAGGGAAGGCAGGGACAAGGGGCTGGGCTGTGGAGCCTTTCCTCTGGCTGGGTTGAACGCTGTGCAGGCTCTCTGGTGGAGTCCCTGTGTCTGGATATTCCCACGGAATGTTGCCAGCCCTCAGCAGGCTTACTTTGCCTTATTCCAGCCGAATACCAGGCAAGTGTTTACTCTCCTTATGACTCACAATTCTGCACTGAAATTCTCCCGAACTGTAAAGAACCACGTCTGGGGTTTGGGAGCTTTCCACCACTTTTTTTTATTTACCCCAGATTTCTTTTTTTAAACTTCTTTCTTGGTTATCAGTAGCTCTGAATGTAGATTTTGAAGTCCTGGGACTCCACCTAATTAGACCCCAGGGGCCGTGATGGCTGCACACAGTACCATTCTCCATATTTCCATATCTGTTGGAAAATCAGAGGCTGACTTGCAGCGTGTCTGTGACCCCCAGATTGGCATGTGTATGACGTTCCTGGTGTGCAGAGCGCTAAAGTCTTTCAAGCACTGGATGAGTCAGGGTGATGCTCTTCATTCGCTTGGTCAAGGCTAAGTCAGATGAGGTCAACACAGTAGTGTGCTGTCTGTGATGATGCCGGCTGGCGGGGTAGTCGCTGGTGTGCCGTGTTGAATCTTCTTCCCTGCACTTCCAGCATGAGGGAAAACCTTGATTCTAACCTTGAGCCAGATTTTATAGTAAGAGGGAGTCCTTGTGCAGAAGTACTGTCACTGGACAGGGGACTCCAGGCGGGGAGTCAGCGTGGTCTGCTGCCTGACTAAGGGCAGGCAGCCCCCTTGGGCAGGAGCTTTTGCCTCCTCGTTGTGTCTTTAGGGGATCTAGCTAGATGACCACACTCAAGCTCTGTTCTACCATTCCCATCACCACCACCCCCACACACCTAGTATCACCTTGCTGCTGTCTAGATTGAGAGAGCTTTGCTTGTGGTGAACGGCAACTAAAATGCAGACTCCCCAGGGAGAATTAATGCTTTAAAACCTTCTTAGTCATTAAGACTGAATAATGAGTTATAGCAGTTCCCTTCCTGGGACACCTGTGATGGGACTTGAGGGGAAAAAGCCTAGAGTTTTATGTGTATTAGATTATTAGCTCCTTTAATGCTCTTGAGAATCCTATTAGATAGATGTTGTTTTATCCCATTGTACAGATGAGAGAAGCTAAGGCAGTGGAGAGGTTAAATGCCTTCCCCAAGTATAATTTGCATTTGAACTCTAAAGTCTGAACCCTAAATTCATGCTTTCTCCCTTCTCCAAGTCTGAGCTACCTTCCGATGAGATCATGACAGCAATAATGGAAGTGAGCACTTAGCATGTACTGGGTATTACAGTCACCCCTGCCTACATTTCTGACCTAACTCCATCCCTGCAGGGGTGGGCGCTGTTACTTATCTACATTCTCAAGATGAAACTACTTGTCCTACATCTCATGGTTAATAAGCTCCAGCACTAGGATTGGAACCCAGGTTTATCTAACTCAGGAGCCGCAGATCTTAAGGACTTTGTTCCCTCCCTCTTGGCATACTGGGTGCCATGAAACAAGGAGAAAATAAAGGTTATGCTCCTTAGGGAAAAACCTCAAGCTCTACTATCTGCTTGATAGTCTTCAGTTGAACATACCTTGTGTGTGGAAAAAGGAAGTAATCAAATTCCTAACTGGATTTTCTCCAAATAACTCCCCTGAGAGAAAGAGAGAGCGAGAGACCATTTAAGTATATGCTAAGGCATATCCAAAATCCAAGAAGAGAACTGCTTAGGGGATGCAGACAATTAGAATCTGGAAAAGAAAGAGCCTTGACTCAAAACTACATGTGTGGGTTACCAGAACAAAATCTTCAAATGAATTGCTGGCTTAATTTTTCTAGTTCCAGGATATTTTTTTTATTGCAACTTTGCATCTGGAAAACTCCCACAGAGGCACGTCAGGCTGTACTGAGTTTCCTACAGAGAATAAGCTGTTTGATCTAGAATATGCCAGGTGTCCTTATTTAGAATACGACAAGACCCATTTTTTTTTAACCTTGGTTTTTGTGCAGAAAGAAAGAGAAGACTGCAGTGTGCCTGGACGCTGTGCTGGGTGCTTTCCGTATGCGGCGTGCGCGCGCGACTCTGCTGAAGAGGCCCGGGAGCAGCTAGCCTGCTCTGCTTTCTGCTTCCCCCGCTAAGGTTCAAGGACTCATCCTAGATATCGTAAAGCCTTCAAGCGTTTGCCTTTCTCCCTGTGCATAATGAATCTTGTTTCTCTGGCAGCCTCCCAGAAGCACCGCCAGGTTCCACCACTGGGGGAGTGAGCTTTGCTAACGTGTGGCCTGCCAACCCCTTTGTGCTGTGCTGGGTGCTTACAAGGCCACCATACCCCTGCTTCCAGCTCTGGGAGTCCTTTGTTTGCCTCACCATGCTTGACCCTGATGCTGTGTCCTATTTTCAGGCCATTCCCACACCTGGCTGGCGGGTAGGGTTGCACCTATGTGCAGGTGCAGTGCAATGTCTGGGAAGAAATGTCAGCACTTTGTCCATGATGCTGTTGGTACAGCTGCGTGCAGAGGTCCGAGATGGCAGAGATGTGTGGTTGTCTGTCTTTCCCCAAGTCTTCCTGGAGGTGGGAGGCTGGGTCACCCTTGTTCTTCAGTTAAACAGTTTGGATGATTGGTCTCTGATTCCTAAAGTCAGGCCATCCTGGACTCTAGTGTTTGGAAGATGTGAAAATCCAGATTGGAGTTTTAGTAGGGAAGTCAACAGAGGGGATTCAATTCCCAGTTATAGAACTGTAACGGGAGTTTCCAGAGATCTTTATCATTTTCATTCTGCTTTCCCTTAGTACTTTGCATCTTAACTTAGGGCCACAGGTGTCTGGGCTTAGTCCCTGGCTCCCCGCTGCCTTTGGAGTCTGTCAGCTGAGCTGCACCAGCTCCTAAGCAGTTGTTTCCTGAGGTACTGGCTGTCTTGAGAGCCACTGTTCAAATGGCCTAAAACTATTTCTCCTTCAACCAACACTTTTTGGGCATGAACTGTGTTTCTGTCACTGGACTAAGCTAGGTATATAGAAAAAAACACAAGCGCTCCCCATTCCCCCCAGAAGAGCTCACAGTCCCAGTGAGGGAGACAGACAGGGACATGACTAACTGGAATATGTGTCAGATTATGATAAATGTGATAATGGAGACATAAGTAAACGTGTGTGGGGAGCAGATAAAAACAGCCTGGAGGCCCCAGCAGAGACTTCCCAGGGAAGGTGGCATTTGAGCCGGGTGTTGACGGGCACTGGGAATAATGAATGACAGGAGTTACAGAACTAAGAGGGCTTTGCAGGAGAGGAAACAGCGTGAACAAAGCAGAGAGGAAAGCACAGCTGCCGCAGCCGGTGGGAGTGGCGGGAGATGAAGCTGTGCACTGCCGCCTCCCACGGCCTGCCGGCCAGGAACAGGGTGCCACGGGGGCTACCCGAGGTCCCTCCTACCCCTCCTCCCAACCCTCCTCTGTCCCCGTTCCCTCCCACCGTGGCCAAGGGCCTTCGTCAATACCGTCCTCCAACTTGCTTCCCTTCCCAATGATTATAAGAAGGATAATTCTAACACAGTCGCTCATAGCTAGACATTTAGAAAGATGTGACGGATTGATATGCATATATTAGAATTAATTGACACTCTACTACAATAGCCCCTACTTGGTGTGGGTTTCACCTGGCCTCGTACTTATTCATGGGATAAAGTTCTTCACTCTCCTGTGGGGGGGTAAGAAAAAGACTTTTTTTTTCTTTTTTGTGAGCCTACGGTAGCCTGAGTTGGGAGCTCTCAGCTGTGATATGTAATATCTCAGAATTACAGCTTTGTGCAGTGGCAGTATCGTAGCCAATGAAGTTTATCCGAGGCTCAATTATTGCTAATTGAAAACTTTTCCCAGTACCCCATCATGACTTGAAAATGTCTCAGAATTACAGGTGTGTTCTGTCAGACTTTCAGACTGCCTTAATTTGCACCCCAAGCATTGGCAAGCCATTGATAATCTGGAAAGTTTGCTCTTTAGGCTACTGTCGCCCAGAAAGAGTGTTGTGAGGCCCACAGTTCCTGCGGAGGTCTGACATTACCAGTGGCAATATCTTGTGACTGGGATGTCAGCCCAGTGTGTGCTGGCAGCTGCACTTGGCCAGGGAGAGCTCATAGACAAGGAGAGCGAACCCACTGCCTCACTGCACATGTTTGGAAAGGCAGCCTGGCCTTGTAGGTTCCTGGTCCTATAGCTTGTTACAGACTCAACCATTACTTGACTCAAACTACAGCTAACTCCATTATCCCTCAGTTAACTCCCAGTTGTGATGTCAGCAAATAAGATTTTCTATAAAATGTAAAACAGACTCTCATTTCTGAGATCTTTCCAGCAGTCCAACAACATGCACAAAAACAATTATGTAGGAAAGTGTACTTGAGAGCAGCTGAAGTTGGAGTGATACAATACGGAGGTCAGCACACTAGCATGTGAGAGTTAAGATAATGCATAAAACAACATAACTCACCCACGGGGGGCTAGGAGTCTGGTGGGAGGCAGCAGTGTATCCACCCAGCAGGAACACACGTGGGGCTGTGGCCCCTGACCAAACCAAGAACCAAGGATGCAAAGGTTGGAGAAAGGAGCCATGAATTCAGGGCAGAGGCGGTGAGAGAGGCTCCAGGGAGGAGTGGTATTTTCATAATTTAGAGGAGCATGTGGCAGCTGGGAGTGCCCGCTCCAGCTTTTCTTGAAACTCCCATAAGCATTGTTTTATTATCCATCCCCAGATGAGAGGAGAGCCAGGACTGAGGGAGGCCACTGTCTGTCTCCTGTCTGGCCCTGGCCCAGCAAGAGATACTCCCTGTCCCCAGGAGAGGGGGCATTCCTGCTACTAGTGGAGATCCTAAGTCTCTGAGCTGAAAGGACCACCCTCGCGTGTGCCAGGGAAAGGGCAGAGCTGCTTGCAGATGAGGCCACCAAGAGTGCAGCCGCAGCCATGCCTAGGGCAGCCTAGAGGGACAGGAGGAAGGAGGGGCGCAGGGCTCTGGGTCCCCTAAGATCAGAGAGCACCTGTAGTTCAGGAATCTGGGAGTGCCCAGGTCAGAGCATGCATGATGTGGTCAGAGCAGGGGCTGGGCCTTAACCTTCCAGAGGAGGAGCAGGTCAGGTGGTGACCACAGAGGTGGTCATAGGCATAGGAAAGCTCACATTTACTACAGAATGTGCATGTTGGCACACAGCCAGCAAGGGACAGCACCAGATTTGATCCCAGTCTTCACTATGACGTCACAGAAAGGGTTCCTTTTCTTAAAATTATTTTTGCTTCTAGAATGTGTTTTAAAGAGAATTATAAGAGGGGCTTTACCTAACAAATGCAATCAGTGTAACCTGGTTTCTTGTACCCTCAATAAATCCCCAACAATAAAAAAAAAAATCAAAAAAAAAAAAGAGTTCTTCCACTAAGAAATAATGATCACGGCTCACATTAATATTTATTACATGCTCACTTAATAACTCCTCTGTTGGAGTCAGTGAAACCATTGATTCACTGATTGATGACACACATTAGAAACTCTGTTAATGGGTATTCTTGTCCCCAGTTTTATGGATAAGAAAACTAAGGCCCTGAGCAGTTAAGTCACATGCCCAAATTCACACAGCTTGTAAATGGCAGAACCCGGTTGTGGACTCCAGAGCCATGCTTATAACCTTGACTTTATACTGCCTCTCAGAAAGGAAGCAAGGAGTGGCCTTGGCTGGTGGTCTGATCGTCTCAGCCATCCACTCCTGAATCCAGTGTGATTCTTCCTCTCAGCACGACACAGGTTGGGTCATACAGTAAGCAGGGTGTGGCCCCGAGGGCATCAAGGCCCTATTCCTGACTCCAGTATCCTAGCAATCCAGTGGGGGAGGCCAGAAGGTTCAAGACAAACAAGATTCCCAGTTAGTTTCATAGCAGGAGGAGGGAGAGAAGTAATTCTGGCTTCTGAGATGACAGAACCAGCTGTGAATTGGCTGTCAACAGGTTCATCCTAGGCTTTCGGGAGTAGGACCCAAGGGCAGGGTGGACGTGGGCAGTCAAGCGTGAGAGGACATGAGCACCTCCAGCACCCTCACCTGACCACGTCATAGAGGCCCTGCACCCTGACAGAGGGGCAGTGAGCTCATACGGATTAGCTGTGCTCCTCTGCTTGAGTAAGAAAGAGCAGATTATTATTTGTGAGGTCAGAATATGAAAGAATTTGCAGATGTGGCTGACCGAGGCTGAGGCCCCCTGGGTCTGTGTCCATGGTGTGCTTCACTGGTTTAGGCACAGGAGTAAACGGGACATTTGGTGCCAAGTAGAGGAACACCTCACCCCAGTCAAAAAGCAGAAAGTAGCCAAAAGGCCTCAGTGCCCTAAATAGATGTCCCCAGCTCCCCGACCCTCCTTGTTGGAAGGGGCTGCCTTGCCCAGGGTGGTCCCTGAACTGTGTGGCTGAAATGCTTCCCTTACCCTGGAAACACTAACAAGTATTTCTGTGGCCTCTAAGCCTACACGAGATTCCTAACAGGTTATAACTAAGGGTCTCCTTCAGGCAGACACTGCCAGGCAAGAAGAAAGACAGTGGAGGAGGGGATAGGAAATGGGGCGTCAGGTCATCAGTACAGGGGTGACCACCTGACTTCCCTCGGGGGCTGGGGGTACCATTTACATCACTGAGCTTCACCCGTGGTTGTCATGACATCCTTGCATCATTGTGTTTGGTTTAAACTTTTATAGAGGGTAGGAAAGTACATGACGTAGAAAGATGTCTGTTAAACAGAAGAGAAGTTTGGCTTAAGGCCTGACAACTGTGCTAAGATGATTTGTTCTTTGATGGCTCAGGGAAGCTAAGGTGTCTGTGTGTGTGTCGGCCCCTGGGAGGCCGGGGACATTTGCGTGGCAAGTTGTGCCCGAGCCTGGTGCTCTCCACAGTCCTAAGATGCCATGCGGGCGGTGCTCATGGGCTGGGACGCCACAGGGCCTCGAACTCAGTGAGTTATGTCAGCTGAAACTTCTCCCCTGCCCCCGCAGGAGGGCCACACGGAAGAGCCAGAAGCAGAGGAGCAGGTCCACGAGCAGCAGCTCCAGCAGCAGGAAGAGTACTGACCCCTCCCGGCAGCTCTTGACACTCTCTTGTGCATGGGAACGTTTCTTCTGGAGAATTGGAACATGTGTGGCCTCAAGCTCGACAGAAACCAGTTGTTCCCAATTGGCCGTTACCATCAGCACACTGTGCATCCGCCAGCCACCGCACCCGGTTCCCATTTCCTTTGCCAAGATGTATTCACAGGTGGCCATCCTGGCCACCTTCCCGAGAGATCGTAGGGTCACATCCATTCAACTTCACCACTTGGCTGCTTGAGATTGGTTCTGCTCTTTCCTTATTTCTTTCCAGAACTACTCCCCCCCCACAACCCCCAACACTGCTACCCTCTCCCCCTCTTTTTATCCTGGTGTGAAACAATGGTAATTTGATCTATGGTATTTATATTGGCATTTCTCAACCCAGTGTCACTAGATGTCACATGCATTTGTGGTGCTTTGATGTTTGCAAGTCTAACCTCTGAACGTAATTTGGTCAAATAATTAATTGGAACAAAGGGAAACAGATACTTGATATGAAAGCCATAGACAGTGACTTGTGTTGTGGGGGAAAACGTAGGGTCAGTCTTTCCCTCTGCTCACAACACTAAAGGGAAAAAAAATGGATTCAGAGCTAGGAATTCAGGGCCCAGTAATGTTGATACATCAGCATGTTAGACAACCACACAGTATGTTGTTACTTTTGAAAGACATTCGCTCAAGGAAAACACCATCTCAGCTTTACCCTCTCACCATGTGCCCCTGTCCCCCTCCCCTTCCCATATTCTCATGCTATTTTCTTTCTCAGGGTCCTCTTTGGTGGGCAGCCACTCTCCCCAAGAAGTTGTCATCACTTATCTGCAGTCCAAAGGGGGTCTGGGTAGGTGCAGATCTTCCTGCCTTGTCTCTCTTCCTCCTGGGGGTTTCAGCCCCCACACTGTCATTCACACTAGGCACTCCTACTAGAAGATAGCTTCGGGGTTTGCATCTTGGGGCTGCAGGGCTCTGTGCTGTGCTGCACACTTGGTAGAAGGCTGGAAGTGAAGACTCTTCATAGGAGCATAATTCCAAGGGAGAATCATGGCTCTGCAGTCTGGTGTTGACACTGAAATCACAGCACAGGAAAAGCGATGACACCCAGTATCTTCCAGATTAAGGAATTTCCCCTCTTTGACACAAGGGCCCTCCTTGTCATTGATCTTTGATAAACCATGGCAATTCATAGAGAAAACATTAATGAATTAAAAGCATTCCTTATTTTTTTAACTAATATTTGCACATTTTCTTAGTCTCTTTCCAAACCTTTGCCTTTTTCTTCTTCTCCTGTACCAGATGGTATCCCTTCCTGGGTCATTCATTGCACTTGGTTTCTAACTGGTTACTGTCACTTGTTATTTGACTTAGCAGGTGCAACAAAAGCAAGAAGCAATTGTGCCCCACCCCACTTTCCGCTCAACTGAAAAGCTTAAAATAAATTTCTGAATTATGGATCATAAAGCTTTGAAAGTTCCTTATTAATTGATGAAATACTAATTCTAAATTCTGGCATTGAAGCTTTTCACCAAAAGAAGTCTTTCCAAAATAAATCTCTTGCAGCAAAGTGGTATTTATTAAGTTTTACGTGGAAAAGATGGCTTGTATTTTTGAGATTATTACAACACACTGTGCGGAATTGGACAGACGTTCCATGGTGTTCGGTTTCCCTTTCTTCTCTCTCCTGCTCACTCTGCATTACAGCGGCAGCTCATTTCTCTAAGGCTTCACAGCCTGGCTCTCGGCAGTGACGTCCTCCCACTCCTGGTCACAGGTAGTGGCTGTGCTATACACAGCATCATATTTAACGGTGTGTTGCCCTCCTGAGCCTATTGTACTCACGGATTTTCCTTTTTTAAAATAGCTCTTGTAAAGCGATCACAATAAATAAGTCCAGGCCAATGAAACTTGAGTGGTTTCTAGGCCATTCTTTGCCTGCTCTAGACATCACAGTCATACCCAGGGCTGGGTCGATCGTGACCAGATTCTGTTCGTGTGGATGACATTCCATGAATGGGGTAAGCAAGGAGTCAAGATCATGTCTTCTCTAGGATCTACTTCATACTGTTAGAAGTTGCATACGCCTCCCCGATGACTTGCTGGAACCACTCTGTCTCTCTCCAACTCCCCGACCTTTGGGGAGAACTTTCCCTGGTCACCATACTCCATTCTCCTTCCTGAAGGCTTGGGCAGACTATTCACTTATTTAGAGAAGAGCTATATGTTCCTCTTTCTGTCCCCATCTTACACATCATCTTTTGTGCTATACTCCAGGGGATGTCACAGATGCTTTGGAGGAATCTTTAACAACTGAGTCTCTGAGTCAGTCCTCTTGTGCTCTGTGCAGACCACCACTCATTCCCCATGGATGGGAGGATCCCATCCTTTTCTCATCTCGGCATTCAGGGCACACTGTCCTCTGTGCCCTGGTCATGTGTCACTAGGCTGGGCTGAGAAGTATCCCTGGGTGTGTGCTCTGCTCCTCCCTCTCAGGAAGCCCAATTTCACCCTTCGTCCCCCCTCACGCCAACTGTTGGCTGGTTATAGCATTTCCACTGCTACCATCAGATAGGAAGTGATCGAAGCAGGGGGCAAAGAGAAAGCCCATGTTTATTCTAAGCAGAAAGGCAGGAAAAAGAAAAAAACAATCTGTTGACCGAGAGAAGTAAACTCCAGAAGGGAACCAAGAATTCCTTCCCTGGTGAGTATTTCCATTATTCCGTTAAGGTTTATTATGCATTCAGATTACTTTTACTAAATAGTACACCATAAAGCTTTTGTTATATATTAAATGTAAACTGAAAGGAATGTAAACATATGTATTGTTAATTATAAATATAGATAAGTAATGACATAATAGATGAAAAAGTCTTATTCAGATGTATCACATTCATTTTACATTACCCACCTATTGTTGCATGGTAGAATAGTATTTTGTCTCTGAATATGTGAATAACTTGACTTGCGTTGACCTTTTTACATATTTAATAAAAAAAGCATATGTTAAAATCGGCCTGGATTTATAGATTCTATGCTAAAACTTCCCATTACAGTGAACATGTGAACATGAATAGATTTGTGTGAATTCACACATCTGCCCACGTTTTATTATGCTTTATGCAGGGAGAGGGGGTGTCTCTGTTTTTATCAGTGGCAAATGTTTAACAGAAATTGTAGATCAGTATTTGATATCAAATGTAGCAGCTGTGACACCTTTTAAAAGTTTACCAAAGAAATAATAAAAATAAAACATTCCCTTGGGAAACATTCACTTGTGAGCAAACAAAATGCTAGCTCGTGCAAGTCCAGCCGACTCCATCTGGAGGAGGCAGTGAGGGATAAATAGGATCCTGGGAGAAGCAGGCAGATGTTTCTAAGTACGGCTTTGTAAACAGAATGACCTGATTGGCAAAAGCTCTTCTAAGAAGTGTGCTTCACCCCCTTGTTTGTTGACTTTAAATGGTGATGATTTATCAACATGAGCTATAAATGGAATACAAAACTTAACAGGCACAGAAATAGGTGAAAAAAGAAACTTACTTAAACTGGGCGGGTGAACCAGCTGAGGAGACCTCAGAGCAGGTAACAACAGTGGGACCAAGGCGTCACCGGCAGGGTGCCAACCTCCCCTAAACTGCTTTCAAGCGCCACCTACAGGCCAGTTCTGTTTCTCTACTGTCTCCTGGCAACTATTTTCCATTTACTTGCCTTTAGGCACTTTGTTATTAAGATAAGAGAGAAAATAGCAAAAGATAAAGACACTACCTTCTTCTCCCCCTACATTCACCACCATAGCCACCACCCCGCCCCAGTGCCTTTGTGAAGTCTTCAAGCCATCGCCTGCGTTATCAAGTCTCATACTCAAAACACTTGGGTTGCCCATTGAAGTCACCTTGGGCCTACACCTAGGGCTTTAAACATGAGATCCTACACTTAGACATTTTTGTACAAATAGCCAAAAATACATGTTATTCATTTTGAAAGTGGACTGGTGGACTCTAGTAGACCTGTCACTGATGATTCAAACATAGTGAAATAACATGGTTGTTCTATTAAATCCGACATCATCTCTAAAAACGCAGTATGTTGTTCCTGGCATTTTGGCGAGGCTCATGAATCCAGAGGTCTCACCCCCTCCAAAAGTTAATAAAATTCCACTAAATTTGAGTTATAAAATGCCAGTTCTCGAGAATTACACACACACACCCTTAGTTTCTGACCTCTTCTTCCTTTTAACAGCTAGAACACGACTGATCATTAGTAGGCTGCTATCATTAGTAAAGTTTTACTGACCCTATTTCTCAGGAGTGAAGAAATGCTGGCAATCAGCTGGATCAGAGCTCCCTGAATGTCTAGCAACTTCTCTTTGGCTGAACTGGGCACTAATAAAAGCTGTTCTCCATTCATGAGAAGAACTCTGGCTTTATTTGCCTCAAAGGAAACCAGTGCTGAAAAGAAAGTCCAACAATCCCAGGAGGACCCTCCCATACCACCAGGACTCAGCTCACGAGACTGCCCAAGGGCAGACACACCCACCCTGGGCCAAGTTCTGACCCAGACCTCAGGTCTTGCACAAACTAGGCACGTTCAGAAGGTGGGTTTGCCGAGGCTGTGCTTGCCTCTGGGGTTTAGGAGGCAGGCCCAGCTGAAGTTGATTTGTTGTAATGCCTTTCATTCCACTAAAGAAAAAAATATTAAAACTTTGTAGCTTGCCAAGTTTTAATTTCTTAAATGGGTTTCTTGTGGGATTTAGTAACACTTTTATCAAGACTGGGGGTAAATTAAGTGTTTTAAAAGGGTAATGACATTATTAATGTGCCTTCGAATTTATGATTGTCAGGGGGAACCAGCTTAATACCTAAATATGTTCTTTCCCAGAGAATAAAAGTGAATTACCCCTTACCTTCTGGGTAACCAGCATCTCTCATACTGGTGCCCTGTGGCGTCTTTAGTTCTTGAAGGTCATCTGTATAAAATAAAAATTTTAAAGATATGTTTATCTTATTCACTAAAATGTTTTGGTCAGCTTAAATGAAATTAGAATTAGTTTCTAGAAATGAGAAAGTAATGAATGAAAAGTTCTCATAAATGCATTTGGCATCTTATTCTGATCCAAATTCCCAGCTTACTACTAAAGTTGTTCTCTTCCAATCTGGTATATTTATTAGATGGCTAAAGTGTAACGTCCTACTAATGAACTAGGTTTTTACCAGCTTGAAAGATTTTTAAGAAAAAGACCACAGAAAATCAATGTAACGTTAGGCTTTTTCTAGGCTCCACATTGTCAAGGTAGGCTCAAGAGGCACTGTGTCCTGTGATGATTTGAAGTTAAAAAAAAAAAAAATGCAGGGAAAGAAAATAAGAATTTTACCTCAGAACATTTTCAGTTCTTTCTTGAGAATGATTTTGAAATATCATAAAATGTTGCTCAGTCATACATAACACATCATTACCACAGCATCTAAGGTTTTGCTTAGTTTTACTTTATTAAAAATTTGGATAACATTTACTTCAGGATGAGAAATATCTTTTTTTTTTTTTTTTT